CTCTTGTGGTTCAAGCACTGGACCGAGAATCTGGAAATCTTGGTTCTGTAGCTGGCTCAGCTGTAGACTTCTTTTGTGATATTGGGAAAGCCATTTCACTTCTAAGCTTCAGTTTCATCATCTGTCAAATGGGAGAAAGTGCTCAGATACTGTAGTAATGGGGACCTGTGGCAGGCCTGGCACCACCCCGCTGTGGCAGGGGTGGGATGGGGTCTTGGAACCTTGCCACTCCCAAGTTCATGTGCCCGTCTCTCTTTGGGCGGATGGTTGCAGCCTAACAGCCTCCTTCCCCACAATCACCCCTTGGTCGGGGTAGTGGGCCTAGCGGCCAGAGTTCAGGTAACTCACCCCAGACGTCTGGGCGTGTGGCCCCATGGCCAGGGTCCATATAAATCGCTCCCACGTTGGAGCAGTGTGGCCTAGCGGCCAGAGTCCATAGGATTCCCATTGTGGTAGGGGGACCTGGGCCCGCCCTCTCCACTGGATCCTGACCCAGGGCCCTGGTAGTGGCAAGTTCCCCTTGCCACCAGCTCGGCAGGGATCCATCCGCAACACGCCGAGCATCTTTGCAGCTCTAACGCCATTTGCCTCTAAAGTTCCCCTGGGTCACTTCCTACCATAAACGCCGGGTTCTCCGCTTCGGGAGGTCCTCTGGTCTGTTCCCCTCCTGTGACGTAATCCGTATGGGCATCAGAGTGCATCCCGGCTTGGCTGGCCTCCGGATCCTGGTGCGTAGGCTTTCCCTCCTCGGGAGCTGGCAGCGTGCCTCCTTCCCCTCCGGCAGTCAGCCCAGACTGAGCAGCTCTGCAGGCTTTTATACCTGTTCTCCAGTTGGAGCATGCCCAGCAGAGCTTCCGGGGCGTGGCTTCCTCTGCTAGGAAGGAAAGGTTAACCCCTGCGGTACTAGTGCGGGGCCACTCTGCCCCATCACAGGACCATACAAATGCCATTAAATAAAAGAATTCTTATTGTCTTACTCTTTTAGGTATAACATTTATTTTTACGTGGCAAACAGTTCTACTTGGCAAAGAATGAATACAGATAGAAAATCCAAAGGTTGAAATAACATGTTTGGCTATATTCATAGATTCTAGGACTGGAAGGGACCTCGAGAGGTCATCGAGTCCAGTCCCCTGCCCGCATGGCAGGACCAAATACTGTCTAGACCATCCCTGATAGACATTTATCTAACCTACTCTTAAATATCTCCAGAGATGGGGATTCCACAACCTCCCTAGGCAATTTATTCCAATGTTTAACCACCCTGACAGTTAGGAACTTTTTCCTAATGTCCAACCTAGACCTCCCTTGCTGCAGTTTAAGCCTATTGCTTCTTGTTCTATCCTCAGAGGCTAAGGTGAACAAGTTTTCTCCCTCCTCCTTATGACACCCTTTTAGATACCTGAAAACTGCTATCATGTCCCCTCTCAGTCTTCTCTTTTCCAAACTAAACAAACTCAATTCTTTCAGCCTTCCTTCATAGGTCATGTTCTCCAGACCTTTAATCATTCTTGTTGCTCTTCTCTGGACCCTTTCCAATTTCTCCACATCTTTCTTGAAATGGGGTGCCCAGAACTGGACACAATACTCCAGCTGAGGCCTAACCAGAGCAGAGTAGAGCGGAAGAATGACTTCTCGTGTCTTGCTCACAACACACCTGTTAATACATCCCAGAATCACGTTTGCTTTTTTTGCAACAGCATCACACTGTTGACTCATATTTAGCTTGTGGTCCACTATAACCCCTAGATCCCTTTCTGCCGTACTCCTTCCTAGACAGTCTCTTCCCATTCTGTATGTGTGAAACTGATTTTTTCTTCCTAAGTGGAGCACTTTGCATTTATGTTTGTTAAACTTCATCCTGTTTAACTCAGACCATTTCTCCAATTTGTCCAGATCATTTTGAATTATGACCCTGTCCTCCAAAGCAGTTGCAATCCCTCCCAGTTTGGTATCAGCCGCAAACTTAATAATCGTACTTTCTATACCAATATCTAAGTCGTTAATGAAGATATTGAACAGAGCCGGTCCCAAAACAGACCCCTGCGGAACCCCACTCGTTATGCCTTTCCAGCAGGATTGGGAACCATTAATAACAACTCTCTGAGTACGGTTATCCAGCCAGTTATGCACCCACCTTATAGTAGCCCCATCTAAATTGTATTTGCCTAGTTTGTCGATAAGAATATCATGCGAGACCGTATCAAATGCCTTACTAAAGTCTAGGTATACCACATCCACAGCTTCTCCCTTATCCACAAGACTCGTTATCCTATCGAAGAAAGCTATCAGATTGGTTTGACATGATTTGTTCTTTACAAATCCATGCTGGCTGTTCCCTATCACCTTACCACCTTCCAAGTGTTTGCAGATGATTTCCTTAATTACTTGCTCCATTATCTTCCCTGGCACAGAAGTTAAACTAACTGGTCTGTAGTTTCCTGGGTTGTTTTTATTTCCCTTTTTATAGATGGGCACTATATTTGCCCTTTTCCAGTCTTCTGGAATCTCTCCTGTCTCCCATGATTTTCCAAAGATAATAGCTAGAGGCTCAGATACCTCCTCTATTAGCTCCTTGAGTATTCTAGGATGCATTTCATCAGGCCCTGGTGACTTGCAGGCATCTAACTTTTCTAAGTGATTTTTAACTTGTTCTTTTTTTATTTTATCTGCTAAACCTACCCCCTTCCCATTAGCATTCACTAGGTTAGGCATTCCTTCAGACTTCTCGGTGAAGACCGAAACAAAGAAGTCATTAAGCATCTCTGCCATTTCCAAGTTTCCTGTTACTGTTTCTCCCTCTTCACTAAGCAGTGGGCCTACCCTGTCTTTGGTCTTCCTCTTGGTTCTAATGTATTGATAAAAAGTCTTCTTGTTCCCCTTTATTCCCTTAGCTAGTTTGAGCTCATTTTGTGCCTTTGCCTTTCTAATCTTGCCCCTGCATTCCTGTGTTGTTTGCCTATATTCATCCTTTGTAATCTGTCCTAGTTTCCATTTTTTATATGACTCCTTTTTATTTTTTAGATCATGCAAGATCTCATGGTTAAGCCAAGGTGGTCTTTTGCCACATTTTCTATCTTTCCTAACCAGCGGAATAGCTTGCTTTTGGGCCCTTAATAGTGTCCCTTTGAAAAACTGCCAGCTCTCCTCAGTTGTTTTTCCCCTCAGTCTTGATTCCCATGGGACCTTACCTATCAGCTCTCTGAGCTTACCAAAATCCGCCTTCCTGAAATCCATTGTCTCTATTTTGCTGTTCTCCCTTCTATCCTTCCTTAGAATTGCAAACTCTATGATTTCATGATCACTTTCACCCAAGCTGCCTTCTACTTTCAAATTCTCAACGAGTTCCTCCCTATTTGTTAAAATCAAGTCTAGAACAGCTTCACCCCTAGTAGCTTTTTCAACCTTCTGAAATAAAAAGTTGTCTGCAATGCAGTCCAAGAATTTGTTGGATAGTCTGTGCCCCGCTGTGTTATTTTCCCAACATATATCCGGATAGTTGAAGTCCCCCATCACCACCAAATCTTGGGCTTTGGATGATTTTGTTAGTTGTTTAAAAAAAGCCTCATCCACCTCTTCCACCTGGTTAGGTGGCCTGTAGTAGACTCCTAGCATGACATCACCCTTGTTTTTTACCCCTTTTAGCCTAACCCAGAGACTCTCAACACTTCCGTCTCCTATGTCCATCTCTACCTCAGTCCAAGTGTGTACATTTTTAATATATAAGGCAACACCTCCTCCCTTTTTCCCCTGTCTATCCTTCCTGAGCAAGCTGTATCCATCCACACCAACATTCCAATCATGTGTATTATCCCACCAAGTTTCAGTGATGCCAACAATGTCATAGTTGTATTTATTTATTAGCACTTCCAGTTCTTCCTGCTTATTACCCATACTTCTCGCATTTGTATATAGGCATCTAAGATACTGGTTTGATCTTTCCTCCCGGTTTTGTCCTGACCCTCCTTTCTCTCTGCCAATATAGCCCACACTCCCTCTCGTCTCCGACCCATCTCCCAGGTCTCCATGTTCCCCACTTACCTGCGGGCTTTGCTCACCTGTCCCCGTCGAACCTAGTTTAAAGCCCTCCTCACTAGGTTAGCCAGTCTATATAATTAATTAGCATTATAATCTAAAGTTAGTTTTAGTTAATGAATTGTTAGACTATATTTAACTTTGAAGTAATTTAAAACTTGTTTAAACAGTCACTACGTTTTCTAAGGAATTTGCTAATTTTCTCTTCTTACTAATGATATTATAAATAATAGAGCATTATTTAGAGGCACTACAGCAAAGCTCAAAGCCTCAAGAGGGCCTGTAGAAGGAAACAGTCTAAGTGATTATCAGATGTCTTCAGGGCTCTAAACAAAAATGGAGTAGTCTTGCTTGTCAGCAGTCTTACCTATGTCAGTAAAACCCACTGAAGTGAACACGTTGTTCTGTAATTTGCATACCAAAACAGGAATAAGACACTTTGGGCAGTGCACTTGTAGAGGATTATATCCTTTCTAAACCTTGAATCTTATGCATCATTACTTTAGTGCTTACATAGGAAATAAGGCCTACCAATATGTTTAGAATGGAATATTTCTGCTATAATACAATTGGGGAAAAAATAGATATATTATGTTACCATTCATAATACTCACAAGTTCTCTGGAGCAGAATCCCTCCCTACACTATGAAAAATCATGCAATACCAAAGCTGCCAATGTATAGGCAGTCAAATTCACAGCTGCACTTGTCAGACTATTCTGGTGTATTCTGAAATTTGTCTGTCTTCACCTTATGTCCTAGTTCAAATGAAATGCTGATTGCAATGGTGTTATTTTTGTATGACAAGTATAAATATGTTAATCAAATTCTTCTTATTCATGAAGAAGGGAATATGGATTCATTATCAGAAGCTGAAAAGTAGATGTTACTTCTGTTGTATACTTACTCACTGATATAAAGCATTTGTACAACTTGAAATTTCATTTGACTGTTCCACATTCTAGGGAGGAGAAAGCCATTACCAGAAAAAAAAATAATGAACTACATGTACCAGTTATGCAAGTCCCTTGATCACATGCACAGGTAAGACACTAAATTCAGCAGTAACCTTGCAAGAAGTATGCCATATGCTTATAATTAAATATTGCCTACAAACATAGTGAATATGCTCATACTTTCATTGAGTTGTTCTTTTTGGTATTTTTATATTGGTGCAGAAATGGAATATTTCATAGAGATGTGAAACCAGAAAATATATTAATAAAGGTAAGTAGTCTTGTGAAATGATATCACTAATCTGAAAGTGTAAGTACATACACTAGTTTCTCAGAATAAACAGAGAAATGTATATCTTTGTAAGTGTGAGGTATAATTTTCATAGTTAGAGAGAGTTGACTCTTTGGTATATAACTTTAGTCTTGTGCCCTCCCCTCCTTGAACGGTGAATGAATAAATGTTTTCTGTTGCTATTGGATAAAAGCGTAAATGGATTCTCTTGTTCTGTAGCTCAGGTGTAAGATTTGCAGCTAAGTCTGAAAGCAAACAAATTCACTTTTTCATGTATTAACTTTTTCCTTTCTGTGCTATTTCTGAAACAAGTGTTGGGACTCAGTCCTGCAGCCCTCTCTCTCCATGCTTAACTCCTACGGTCGGCAGAAGTTGTTCACACGACTGCACAAGGAGACCTTAAGTTGATTTTGTTTTTGAAAGACTCCTGTTTTAAAAACTATCAAATGCTGGCAGAAGGCCTATTTCCCAGAGTTGTTTAGTAGTTTTGTTGCCAGAATTCAGCTCATTTATATTTATGGGATAGATTTTACTGTTTTAAAGTCCTTAGTGTGTCCCAAAATGAAACCAGAAGGAGGAAGAGGAACTAATAGAAAGAAAAGCCAGGAAAATATCTATCATGTGACTACTAAAAATGAGAACACCAAGAAAATAATCTCATGTAAATATGTCACTTTTAGCAACCTTCCCTTCAAGACTAGCTAATACATTTTACTATTAATGGTTATCTCTAACATTTTTTGTGAAAATGTACAGAAAGATACTAGTGTGTATTATGGGACATAAATGGCCTTAAATTTCAGAGGCACTTACAATTTAAAGGGCAGTTTTACAATTTGTTACCATAATGAAACATTTACCATAGCTGAGATATGCTTCATTGATAGGCCCATTCAGTGTCGCTGGAGAATAGATTTTTAATAACATTTAAACACAGACATGCAATTTGACATTCCAAATCACCTCTTTTCCTCTTTTAAAAAAACAACAACAACAACAAAACCTAAAAGTTAGTACCGAAAGCAAACTATAATTAGATTTATAATGGCTGGATCAGGTATTTCAGAAGGCTTCCTGCCTTTGCTTCAATATTTGACCGTTTTCTAATTTATTGGACAACATAAGTTTGTTTGTTTTGTTTGTTTGGGGTGTTTTTGCAGCAGGATACCCTGAAGTTAGGAGACTTTGGATCTTGTAGGAGTGTATATTCCAAGCAGCCATATACAGAATATATCTCTACACGTTGGTACCGAGCACCTGAGTGTTTGCTCACAGATGGCTACTATAGCTACAAAATGGACATGTGGAGCTCTGGCTGCGTTTTCTATGAAATCACAAGGTACAGTGCTAAGTAGAAAGAAATTAAGAGTTTGATTTATTCAGTGTCAAAGAAACTCCAAGTTGAGGATCAACTCATTATGTAATCAGCACATGGCCTGAGTAAAATTATGTTAAGGGCATAAATGCAGGGCCTGTGCAACCTATTAGCGACCTAGGTGGTCACCTAGGGTGCTAGGATTTTGGGGGTGGCATTTTCTTCGGTGGCGACCGCAGCGGCCGGATCTTCGGCCGCCCCGGTCTCCGCCGGCATTTAGGCGGAGGGAGCTGGGGCAGGGGGGCGCGGGGAGGGCCGCCTGCAGCAAGTAAGGGGGGGGGCGGCATGCAGGAGAACTCCCCGCCCCAGCTCACCTCTGCTCCGCCTCCTCCCCTGAGCACGCCGCCCCGCTCTGCTTCTCTCCCTCCCAGGCTTGCGGCGCCAAACAGCTGATTGGCACCGCAAGCCTGGGAGGCGGGAGAAGTGGAGCAGCGACAGCGTGCTCAGGGAGGAGGCGGAGCAGAGGTGAGCTGGGGTGGGGAGTTGCTGCATGGCTTCCCGGGCGGGGGGGGGAAAGCTGCCACGAGGGGGGGAGCCTCAGGGCAAAGGGGGGCTGGGGAGCTGCCGCAGGGGGGTGCTTCAGGGCAGGCGGGGGGTGGGGAGCTGCCGCAGGGCTCGGGGAGGGTGCAAGGTGGAAGTTTCGCCTAGGGCGCGAAACATCCTTGCACCGGCCCTGCATAAATGTTGTTTTCCATGGTTTTCTAGAACTCTTTCACGCCTCTAGTCTAGAAGTTACATTAGGCACAGATCCTGTCTTTTTTGGCACCAAACACATATAATAGCAGATTAACAATAAAGTAGCTGGATGCTTAACAGAAAGTAAGATTGCCACATGCCTTTATGTAATTAATTCCCCCTAAATGTTTTATTGTTTGTAATATTTTTCGTGATTGAATAACTTCATGATTGAATATTTCTTAGTTTGGGAAATAGTGATTTTTTTTTTTCTTCTTTTCCTCACTGAGTCCTGCATGGCTCACTGGGGGTATACTCCCAGGAGTAGCCCGCAATGGTCAGTCCCGAGTCTGGTACTATTCAGTAGTTTCATTAATGACTGGGATAATGGAGTGGAGAGTATGCTTATAAAATCTGCAGATGACACTAAGCTGGGAGGGGTTGCAAGCCCTTTGGAGTATAGGATTAGAATTCAAAATTACCTTGACAACATGGAGAACTGGTCTGAAATCAACCAGATAAAATTCAATATAATTGCAAAGTACTACACTAAGGAAGGAAGAATCAAATTCACAAATACAGAATGGGGAATAATTGGTTAGATGGTAATACTGCTGAAAAGGATCTGTGGGGTATAGCAGAACAACAGTGTGATGCAATTGTGAAAAAAGCTATTCTCATTCTGCAGTGTATTAACAGGAGTGTCATACGTAAGACATGGGAGGTAATTGTCTCTCTCTACTCAGCACTAGTGAGGCCTCAGCTGGAGTACTTTGTCCAGTTCTGTGCACCACCCTTTAGGAGAGATGTGGACAAATTGGAGAGAGTCCAAAGGAGAGCAACAAAAATGATAAAAGGTTTAGAAAACCTGACTTATGAGGAAAGGTTAAAAAAACTGGGCATGTTTAGTCTTGAGAAACAAGACTGGGTTGGGGTGGGGGAGAAACATCTGATACCAGTCTTCAACTACATTAAGGGCTGTTATAAAAAGGATGGGGATCCATTGTTTTTGGTGTCCACTGAGGGTAGGACAAGAAGTAACCGGTTTAATTTGCAGCAGGGGAGATTAAGGTTAGATATTAGGAATAACTTTCTAACTATTAGGGTAATTAAGTCCTGGAATAGGCTTCCAATGGAGGTTGTGGAATCCCCATCACTGGAGGTTTACAAGAGCAGGTTAAACAAACACCAGTCAGGAATAGTCTAGGTTTACTTCGTCCTGTCTCAGCACAGGGGGATGGACTTGATGACCTTTCAAGGTCCATTCCAGCCCTACATTTCTATGATTCTATGCTGACACTGCAAGTGAGATATGATTGTAGCCTACCAATGCTATTTTTAATCTATCTAGTACATGTGGTGTAACAATAGTAGAGTAGACATGGCAGCATGGGCTAGCAACCCAGGTACATACCAGGCTCTCCAGGCAGCTTGTACTCTGGCTGCTAGCCTATGCTGCCATGTCTTCACTACTGTTATTACCAGTCCTAGATAAATTAAAGCTAGCAGGGGTATGCCTTCCTGTGCTACAGTCACACTTTCAATGGCAGTGTAAACATACTGTTGTTGTCATGAGCATAGCAGTCCTCAGTTTTGATAGTACATTTGAGATGTTAATATTTTTGCCTCCTCTGCTGATTTACTCTTTTGCAACAGTAGAGGAAATCAGTCACATGAGAGTCGATTCCACAATTTAATTTGTAAAAGTTTGTTAAACCCCATTTTCTACCGGTTGTTTTGTGAAAAAAACAGACCTTACAGTTTGACTCTATGCAAAAGTGAGTTTTGGGAAAGCTATAATAAAATTTGTTCAGCTGATTGAGATCTGCAAGTGTGCAAGAAATTATAGAACTGGAGAGAGTCTTTGTAATTTCCATTATTACTATAATTCATGAAAATAGTTAAAAAGGGCAGTGAATATTTCCTGAACATCCTTGTGCTCTGGAAAAGGCAGCTGATCTGTGAGGCTTTCCTTTTCTTCTTTCTCCTCCACTTGCCTGTGTGCCGTAGCAATGGCAACAATTCTGCTCTGTCCTCCTCCCATACTGCCACCTTCTTGTTTGGTATGCAACGAGCAGTGGCAGCATTTTTGCTTCTCTCTCCTCCTTCACCAAGGACATACAGCTGCTATTGCTCCTCCCACATCTGCCACATGAACTGGCAGCCCTTCTGCTTTGGCTGCTTGCTAACTAGTAGAAATAACTAATTTTATGTTGGGCAGAGGCCAGTTGACACACACAAAACCCAAATGTGTCCTTTCTCCCACAAAATAAAACTGACCCCAAATGAACTAACTCTACAGTACTCTCTTATAAAATGTCACACTTTCATCCCCATAAAAACCAGCTGAGCTTTAAAACTCTGCAAGTAAGTATACTCCAGGTGAATGCCAAAGAATGTCTAAACTCTGTTGTAAACAGATTGTGGGAGTGGGGGCAGGTCAGGTTAGAGACTGTTCTTTTGCCTGAACTGATTTGTCCATTCCCACCAGAAGCGTGGGCAATAATCTAACACGTTGCTCTCCTATTGCTGACCAGTATGAAATGCAGTCTGAAAACAGTCTGTCAGTTTTCAGAGCACCACACAGTGGCAGTCATTCCATTAGAACTAGTTTAAATTACTTTTAGTATTGCCAATTTTATTTCTTATCTTTCAGTTTCCACCCTCTCTTTCCTGGATCTAATGAATTGGACCAAATATCAAAAATCCATGATATTCTAGGCACCCCTGCTAAGAAAACTCTTAATAAATTCAAACAGTAAGTATGTAGTACACTCCCATATTTATTAATCTAAATAAAATCTAGCAGTTTTCACAATCAGCTCTTTTATTGTGAACACTTAAATCTAAATATAGTCATTGTCATATACCTTAATATTAATTAATATGTAAATACTTAAGTCTGTCTTAAGTGTAATTCCTAAATGCAATTTTCTGATCTCACAAGATTTCAAGTTGAGGGGGGAGGAAACTTGAGCAGTTTTTTCTTACCCACATCAGGGATTTGTGTCCTGCAGCCTATACCAGCTGAACCATTGCTGCACAAACTTTGTGGTCAAGGGTACTTTCCTCCTCCACAAATGTAATGCTGCTTCATGCCAGTTGCCAGATAGGGGTTCTCTCCCTACCCAGAGGCAGTTCCTTTGTGATGCTCCCAGGCAGATGAGAGAAAATCAAAACTGTATTCTAGGTCTCACCTGGCAGTTTACCTCTGCAACATCTAGCATGTCAGTGATAATTTTATAAGGAAGGAAATTCTGTCATTTCAGTGCTTCTTAATTATTTCCCTTTTCAAAAACATAGTGATTAATTACTGTCCCTAGTCAGATTAGATTGACCTTTTAGGTATTTTTCAGTAAGTTTAATATTTGGAGGCAGTTTACATGAATGATAAGTGTTTGCTCTATTACTGGGTTTAACACAGGTCAAGAGCTATGAGTTTTGATTTCCCCTTTAAAAAAGGGACAGGACTATCTCCACATGTGCCTAATATCTCCCCCAAGAGCCTCTCCCTTATGTATGCGATGATAGAATACGATCCTGATCAGAGAATTGGTGCCCACCAAGCACTACAGCATCCTTATTTCCGAGAGCTGAGGTAAGTTTACACTTTCAATACAGGATTTTAAAGTTAGATCCCAAATTGCACAATGGACTGTGGAGAAAGGAACTTGGTCTAAAGTAAACCCTGAATTCATTAGGTTACAATCGCCTTGCAAATAACCATACGTGCAGTTTTCTTTATTTACTGCATTAAAACAACTGAGAAGTAAAATTCATATGGCAGTTTCTTTACTATCCTACTGGACTTCAGATTTCATCTGAAGGGGTATTATTTGACTTTTTGTTCACTCTTTTCAGAACAGCAGAGAAGCAAGCTGTAACCATGCACAGAAAAATGAGATTAGCAGAAAACATAGTGGGACAAGAATCTATCAACTTGTGGTGTATTTCAAAGGATGGTAATAGGCAGGTAATATTTAAATCAAACTGGAGAACATGCAGCCTATTTAAATAAAGTCATTTGTAATGTCTAGTTTAGATACATAAACAAATGTACATTAGATAGGTCAAGTTTAGATACATAAACAAAAGTCACTTAATGGTGACTGCATGGTTTTATTCCTGAGGTAAACTAAGGGTCCAGTCCTGTATAGGAATCTGCTGGCACAGACTTCAGCACCTGTGCAAAATCCTATTGAAAGGCAGGGGTCAGGGTCTAAAGGTTTGCCACAGTCCTTTAATTAGATAGTGGTAGTAAGTCTTGCTGATAGCTTTGTGCCTTTTTGCCTTCTGTATACATTATAAAGGACCAAGATTTTTTTAATTTCTATTCATGTACATTGGAAATTTTGGTCTTGTCTACCGTTTTTCCTGGAAGACTATAGATAACTGGAGAACTAAGGTAACATTAGAAGCCAAGGATACGAAGCCTTGCTGAGAGAAGAGATTTATATGTAGACTGTTAAACTTTTTTTTTTGTTTATACTTATCAAAACTAACTCCAAAATGATTCCACTTCTCCATCCCTTCATCCAAATGCCAAGTTCCTAATCCGCATCTCTGGGTCCTCCAACTGAGACCTGCAGCAAAACAGGACATGACCTTCCTAATTTAAGATAGATTTTGTTGTTGTTGAGAGAGACAAGATAGGTGAGTTAATACCTTTTATTAGACCAACTTCTGTTGGTGGAACAGAGAAGCTTTCAAGTTTCTCAGAGCTCTTCTTCAAGTCTCTGTAGTTGACATACACTCAGCCTTTTTGGTTAAAAACACATCATAAATTAGCAACAAAAAAAGTCACAAGCCCAATTTTCTTCTATAGGTCACCTTTAAAGTACGAGTCCTTTTCCCATTAGCAGCCATTTGTTCCACTAATTCAACTGTTGGGAATTGGTTGAAATGGGGTTTGTACACAGATGCTTGGGGGAAACCACAAAAAGAAAATGTGCAAGTAGTTATAAATAACCATCATTAAGGGGCGTGTGCTTAAGAATTCAGCTGAAATGGAGCTTTCGTGGGTTGCTTTTTGGGGGATGAAAGTTCTGTTTTTTATTGTACCCTATTTAAGAAAAATGTCACTGTCAGCAGATTGAAACTTGTATCTTTATTTTAAAAGCACTCTCTTAGGAAAACCCAGGAGAATCCAATAAGACATCATGGACCTTCCTATGCAATAGAATTGCCAAAACTGAATGTTTCTGGAGTAACCAAGTTGACTTCTTATCCTAGTCCTACATTTCAGTCAGTTTTTACCACGCCTGCAACAAATGGTGAAGTCCCTGTGTTACAACCTATTAAATATATTGGGACAAATCACAAGGTAGTAAACTTTAACTTGCTTATTCAGTTATACACAGCAAATAAATATAAATGTATTATAGACCATATTTCAAACTTATATCATTTTTTCAACAGTCTGAAAAACAGAAGGAACTTAAGTCTTCTATGAAACAATACCACTTACCCACTATAGAAAGAAGAGGTGGAGGATATTGACCAGCTTGTCAAACATTTGGAATGTAAGGAAAAGCATGACTATGCAGTGAAGCAGATTCAACCATGATCTCTATATTATTGTCAAAGGTACACCAAAAGCAATAGTGCCTTATATTTTGTTTCTCTGAAATGCTGCAGGAAAACACTACAAGACTATTAGCACTTTAGTACTTTATTTCTGAACGGTATCAATATTTATCTAAGCACCATTTTGGCAGCTCAAAATGCACTTTATACTTGAACCCTTTTAAACAAATTCGCTTTTTAAATTTTTTTAAAAATAAAAATGGATAATTTGGGATTTTAGTTTGAGTGCTAGGAATGACATTTTGTAATTGTTTTATATTATATACAAAATAGTTTATGATGTTATTAAAGACTTGTTAAACTTGATCTGTTCATTTTGTACCTTTTTAACAGATGAAAATGTTAAGTTGCGTAGACAATGTTGGACATAATTATCTCTCTTGTATTAGGTTGATAGTTTCAAAGCTCAAGTCTTGTTAATATTTTATGGATTATGATATAATTTGAGAAACACCTGAGTAGTAAAATAAATAGTTTTAATTACTTTTGAAATTTGTATATGCAAAGGATAGCTGTACAGTTACATATCTGATTCATAAGCAAATCTATCTTTATCATTTGTGTCCTTTTCTTTCTTAAACCATGCTTTTGTATTAATCAAAAGCTTTACAGGGTCTGGTGGTTTTACAATTAGTTGGTTGAAATAGTGGTAAAGAAACAGCATATGGATTTAGACCATTTTTTCACATTTCACAAATTATAGGCACTCATTTAATAAGGTTCTCAGCTTTTTGTGCTGTAGAAGCCAACAAAATTCAGAAATAGCATTTTGGTCATTGTAGCAGAGGGATACCATTTAAGGTAATGACTAAGAGTTCAGTGTGTTTGATTTTTAAAACTTTAATATCCTAGTAAGAAGGAAAATTGTCAGTTTAGCATTAGCTCTGTTAAAAAGTGGCTTTACAATTGCAGAACCAAATGGAGTTCAACTATGGAAGATATCTTATAGCTATGTTAGGACTGGATTTTTCAAGTTGTGGATATTCCTAAGTGGGAAGCTTTTCCTGACATAAACGGAGGTACTTAAGATAATTTCTGTATAATGAGCTGTGCACTTAAAAAAGATTCTAGCCTTTATGGTTGTAAAAGTTACGCTGTTCACATCTGGAAAGTTAATGGATGTCTTCCTGTTTGAAAAACAGCTCCAGTGCCTCTGCTGCTCTTCAGAGCTTTTCCAGGCTGCAGCAGAGTGAAATCATTAAGAGCCCAGTCAGTTTTACAGCTGCTAGTCAGAACTTAGTGGACAGCAGTTAAACTGAAGTCACATCATGTTGGTGCTGCTGAGGCACTCATTGGAGTTGATGGGAGAACACCCCAGACTCAGTCTACACTAGAAAGCTTTGCCAGCATAGTTATGTCAGGTAGGAGAGTGGGGCGGGGGGAGAATCCCACCCCCTAATCAATATAGTTAAACCACCCCCCTACCTCTCCCTCTGTAGACACATCTTATACTGACAAGAGGAATCCTTTTGCCAGTATAGCTTATGTTGTTCGGGGCAGGCGGTTTAACTATACTGCCAAAAGAACTCCTTTTGCTGAGTAGGCACTGCATCTCCAGTAGGGGGCTTTGCACGTATAGCTACACCATACACTATAGCCTTTGTGATGTAGAGTAGTCCCCGGAGAGATGTAGAGTAGTGAAGATCTCTTTTCTCCATGTTTTATCAGACATCAACTAGCCAAAGTTCAATACAAACAATGAAGCCATTAGTCAAGATCCAGGAACAGCACTCTGGTAGAAATCCCAACAGCTCATGTGTCGGGGGCAGTAGGCTTCTCATCAAGGTGTTGCCTTTAGGCCTCACAGCGATGGTGCAGTTGTAATGCCCTGATAATGCCCAGGAAATGCATGGACCTTACAGACTTCATTTGTTAATGTATACATTGTTTTAGAACGTAATGGTCTGTGTGAGTAACTAATTCCTAGGTAATTGTTGTTTGGTGGTAAGGAGTGTGCTGGTCACCCTAAATCTTTGTTGCCTTATTGCTTATAGGAAGTAGAATGGCATGGTTAGCGCTAGATGGCTGGTCACTTTATTAGAAAAAAACATAAGCCAAACTAAACCCAGCTTTTTCATAAAAGGACATTAAATGTGAAGATAAATTAAATCCAGTCAGACTCAGTGCTTGTCTGCATGTACAGCGCTGCAGTGCACCAGTGCAGCTATGTCACTGTAGCACTTTAATGAAGATGCTACTATGCTGACGGGAGAGCTTCTCCTATCAGCATAGTTAATCCACCTCTGCAAGAGCTGGTAGCTATGTCAACAGGAGAAGCTCTCCCATCAACGTAGCACTGTCTACGCCAGCCGTTAGCTCAGTATAACTATGTCACTCAAGTGTGGATTTTTCACACCCTTGAGCAACACAGTTATACTGATGTAAGTTTGTAGTGTAGACCTGGCCTAAGCAAGTCAGTCTACATACAGCTAAAATAGTACTGTAGTTTGCCCTAACTTCCAGAATTTTTTTCACAAGTTGTTTGGTATTTGAAATTTAGGCTGTTATAAAATCAGCAAGTCTCACTTTGAAAATAAGATGTTGTGACTAACTTTATTTTTCATTAAAATCTCAGCATGTCATTCTCTCTACTAACCACATAGATGTCAGAATAGAGTTTGGCAGTGATACATTTAAAAAAAATACCTACCAAGTCTTCTAAGCTTGTGTGGCTTAGTGCATAGAACACTGCACGACGACTCAGAGCTGGGTTCTGTTCCCAGCTCTCCTGCTGGTCTAGTAGGTGATCTTGAACAACTCACTTTACCTTCTTATGCATCAGTTTTCCGATCTCTAAAGTGGGGATATAGTACATTCCTCCTTTGTAAAGCTCTGAGATCTACTGGTGAAAATGCTATGTAAGAGCTAGATATCATGGAAAACCAATTTTCAAAGTGTAATATGTTCTAACACAGGCAAGTTCTCTCAAATTCATTGCATGGCAGGGTGTATGGCTAAGGGTACTGGTCATGGAACATGGAGTCCCACTGTTTGGCCCCCAGTTTAAATTTGACCTGATCACTACCCACATCATTATTTCATGGCTGTTTGCTGGCCTGTGAGATGTTTCTTACTCCAGTTCTTATTCAACAGGTAAATACTTTCTCAGCCCTGGAAGCATTTCAATAGAATGTAGGATAGGGGCAAGGCCCAATAGTGGGAATCTGTGGGGTTGCTTGCAGTGCTGCCAACCACCATATACCACTGGCTTGGATAGTGGACTTACAGTTCCTGGTGTATCAGTCACCTTTCATAAACATGAAAGCCTAATGAACTGGAAAATAAGAAAGGGTTTGAAGTGATTTAGGATGATAAAGAGATGTGTAAGTAGAAAATACCCATAATTTAGTTTGAAGAAGAGTAGGTCAACACTATCTGGATGAGTACCTGTGCTGTGTGTTTACATGGGTACATCATTGGTGTTGAGGAAATGGAAGATAGAGAGATCCATATCTGTGGTACAACAGTAGCCTACTATTCCTTATCTTTAGACATTTCGGACAGAGGTTTCATCAGATGTCTTTTGTGGGATGGAAGCTGTTACATTAGTTTTCCAAAGGAGGAGCTGAGAAATACAAGACTCCTGGCAAATCTTCAGTGATGTGAGGGAGCAGGAGCAAAAAAAAAAAAAAGCAATGATTTTTGTATTGCAAGATACTACACCAGGGGTCGGCAACCTTTCAGAAGTGGTGTGCCGAGTCTTCATTTATTCACTCTAATGTAAGGTTTCATGTGCCAGTAATACATTAACATTTTTAGAAGGTCTCTTTCTAGAAGTCTATAATATATAACTAAACTATTGTTGTATGTAAAGTAAATAAGGTTTTTAAGAAGCTTCATTTAAAATTAAATTAAAATGCAGAGCCCCCTGGACCAGTGGCCAGGACCCAGGCAATGAGTGCCACTGAAAATCAGCTTGCATGCTGCCTTTGGCACGTGTGCCATAGGTTGCCTACCCCTGTACTACACTATAGCAGCTGGCAGGGCCGGCTCCAGGGTTTTGGCCGCCCCAAGCAGCCCCCCCCCCAAAAAAAGGCTTTAGGTATACGTTTAGAGCAAGGAAATGAAGCATATCTAAAAACTAGAGTAGCAACAGGCCAACCCTACGGCAGCATTAACATTCTAAAAGTTGATGAGCTTATCTTGTTTGATGAATACACTGGACAGTCTTGTTCTGTAGAGTGATGGATACAAGTCCCCAGAACATTTGATCTGCTGCAAAATTTCACTACAGGCTGCTCATTAGAAGCTCAAATTGAAAAATAAAGTTGATCAACATTTGACATGAACAGCACAGTCTCTCCAGGTTCTAAAAGTCTTACATCTGTCCTACTCTTTCAAGCTCATGCTGTAGATCAGGGTTCACAGCAGCAATCTACTAGTGTCAGAGATAAAGTTAATTTCATCTGATTGTTTCCTAGAGCTTTCCTAAGAGCTGTTTTTTCTCAAGGTGATTCAAGTAAACCACCTACTTTCATGTAATACTCCCATTCCAAAAGAAAACATGGAATTTTACAGAAAATTATTTGTATGAGGTTTTACTATTATATCTCACAGCTAAGCATTATTACAAATGAGAAGCATGCCAAAAACCAAACTGTTTTCATGATTATCTCATAGTAGGTTTTTGTTACATAAGTTGTGCATTTTGAAACAGACTAACTTGTTAGGACACCCTAAATCAGTGGTTTTCAACCTTTTTTCATTTGTGGACTCCTAAAAAATTTCAAGTGGAAGTGCAGACCCCTTTGGAAATCTTAGACAGTCTGCAGACCCCCCCAGGGGTACACAGACCACAGGATGAAAAACCACTGCCCTAAACATTATTCAAGAAAACTATTTGAAAAAGCCAAACTAAAGGCAGATGACTTCCAAGAAGACTAACTTAAGAAAATCACTCTACAGTATGTCACCTTGAGAACTTAATTTTTTCACATCAGACTTTAGAAAGTGCTTCAAACTTACGCGGTGAGCTTACTAGTAGTTGTTTAACAATGAAAACATCATCTTTGACACCATTATTTCTGTGTTAAGTGGGCATTTAAGTGAAGAGGCTATTCCAATGTGATCCTTAATTCTACTGGATAGAGCAAGTGAAATATACAACTCCTACGTGACTATAACCACCAGAAAAAAATAGGCAGGGCCTGCTGAAAAATAGCTGCTTAAGTAACATATCCCAAAGGGCGGTTAGGAAATAGATACAGTGCTTTACAAACATCAGAAGTTTCAACTGAGGAAGCTAACAAATTAGCTACCTGAGTTATCTACAGCACTAATAAAACTCATACAACATTGATTTGTTAGTTAATCTTTAAACAGTTTTATTTAATTTCATATGCATGGCAGTTGCCTTCATTTGTCTACCTGGAATTTGTATTAACATACAGAGAGTTGTGCAAGCCATTAGTTTTACTTCTGACAATTTTATATGCAGCGTTTTAAAAAAGGACCTATCTATATAAAAGTCCAACCTTGTTCATTTTGTTCAGATGCAAAATTCTCATTTTCACCAATTTGTCAATGTGGCAGAGTGGCAATCACTAGCTTTAGCATGAATACCAGTTATCAGAAGTGACATATTCCCAAGTATGAAAATTTAAGTGTAGTCTCTTCAGATTTGAATATATGTAAAAATGCACCTTTTTAATTTTGTGTATTGTCATATACTACAATATGCTTTTACCTCTTTTTAGATCCCCAGAACCAAAACAGCCAACAATGGGAGCTGGATTCTATTTCTAGAGCATCAACAGAACTATTTACTAAAGTCCAATTAGAGTCCATTATGTCACTGTAAACCCTGAAAGCACTGGGGATTGCATAAAGTTAATGAGGGCTACTTGGGCCTGCAGGACCTTTACGAAGGGTGCTAACATTTAGGGAAACCCAGCTTGAGTTTGTCAGGCTAGGAGTTGGAAAAATTTTCAATTGTAAAATAAGCAAATTGGGAATTAACTGAGAAACATGGAAGCCCACAATGCCATTTTATAGAGTAACCTTGCCAAGCAAAGCCATACTATAATTTCCTCTCACCTAGCATTCAATTTGCTTTAGTGCAAAAAAACAACTTGTGTTCAATATGCAATGATGTATTTTCTCCTCCTGTTTAAAAATTTGGGGATTTATTTTTGTTTCCTAAAATTTTAGGAGTGTCTTGTTCTGATCAATACACTATATAAACATATAGTTTAAAATATTTCAATTACATGACTTATGCAAAATACAAAATCTTCCAAAGAGGATATTCACTGTTTTTATTGTGCAATGTTAAGGCTTGCTTTGCTTTTTTGTATTGTATCCCAATTATCCACACTAGAGGTTGAACATATACACCCAGAAGATTCATGATCTGACTTTAGAATTGCCAGTCTACTTACAGAGTTCAAATATTGCTGATCTGGCAAAACTTTTGGGGTTGTTGTTAAAAGGGAGGTTTGTATTTTAAGCTTGTCTAAAAGGGCATATTTCCTAGGATCATTCTGAATGAGGCATGCAGGACTGGGTTCCTTCCGTGGTAAGAGAGTGACGAGTGCTTTGTTGAGCAGGGATTGATTATCCAAGTATGTGCTTAAAATTAAGCACATGCTCCAGTCTCTTCAAATTAAATATGCTCGTAAGTGTTTTGCTGAATAAGGTCTTAAATAGGTAGATCTTGTCAAGTGACCGCACTTTCACTGAAGAATTCCTTTCATCATTCAAACTATATTCAATATTTCAGGTTTAAGACTAGTTGTCTCTGCATGCAAATGTAGAATAATATTCAGAGCACTTGAAATAGGGCAATAGGACAAATATTAAATAGTGACTATTTATGCTGTTTACTTTTTTGCATGTCAGTTTAAAACTACCTAGTCTATCCACTTTTATGATTTCTAGTCAATTTCACTTTCAAATTCTCAGGCAAGTAGCCCAATACTGCAATGTTTGGGTGGAAAGGCAATACATTTTTATACTCACCATAGGATTTTTTACATTACATTTAAATAGTTCTGTTGGACATCGGTTTTTGCAATTACTTGACCCAACAATATAGTATTTAAACTGTTTATTCTAGCTACTTTGCTTCTCAAAGCTTGTTTTGGAGACAAAATGATAATCAATTTCATTCAAGTAGGAGTCTTACAGCTTGAAAACAGGACAGACTGACACCCTTATTTTAAGTGATTGTGTTCACAGAACATGGTCACAATAAAAATATATTTAGGGAAAGGGTGATATTTTCAAGTCTACTTCTTACCTACAAGACTTGTGAAGGGTGCGAGAATAACAGAACCAAGAAATGAAGTCTATTTAGCAAAAGAATTTATGACTTAGGTGCAGCCATGAAAGTTTCTAAACTTGGGGAAAAGAGGAGTTTCTTCTAAACAAAGTACTTTTGACCCTTATTACAGAAGCTGGACAGAAAGTTGGTTTCCATTCAGTGCTTTGTTTCTATGCCAACGGTGTCAGTCAATGTTAGTCATGATAAAGAAAGCTATCCACAGACCAGCCCATTTTACATAGACCAGTAAACGACTGTCAGACAGTAACAACTTTGTCTTTTCTAATTTGGTTAGTGATCTGAATACAACCCAGGAGGTGACTGGCTCAGAGCATTTGGTAATAGGATTCTCAGTCTGTCTCCACTGTATGTTTAAAAATCAGTTTAAGAATTTAACATATATTGCAACCAAGTGTCTCACTATTTCCATATTTACCTAAATCAAATTTGGAGACATTTAAATAAGGTAAAATTAGAATTTTAATGATTGTTAAACTGACAGTTTCAACCTGGTTTGTTTATATTCAAGGATTAAATAAACCTGAACTGCATAAATCACAGGTCTGATTACTCTTCCATTGAAGTGAACAGCAAAATTTATCTTCAGTGGGAGCAGGAGTGAGGCTTTAATTTTTATAAAACTGATATGTAGAACCACGTGAGGCTTGCTAAAGTTTGAGTTTCTCCAGTGTTGCAAACAGATTTAGACTAAATCTCAGGAAAAACTTCCTAACAATAGGACAATGAAACAGATTGCCTAGGGAGGTTGTGGAAGCTCCTTCATAGAGGCTTTCAAAAGAAGGCTGGATAGCCATCGGTCTTGCATGGTTTAGACACAACAAACCTGCTTTCTTGGCAAGTTAGACTAGATGAGCCTCGAAGTCCCCAATTATTCTATGTATAATTATGTAGTTTATTCTAAAAATGACAGTAGAGTATTAGTATCTTGTGATTAAAGAAAATTCTATTCAACTATAAATTTTATACAAAAATGTTGTTGGAACCTGGGATAAAGTTTGTTGGTAATTTAGGCCCAGATCATGCCTTCAGTATCAACATTAAATTGACTTTTGGAAAGTCCTTCCATTTTGAAGGATATGAATGCCAGAGCAGAGCTAAGAAGGCTGTTGCTTATACCACCTCCCAGCTGCACATCTGCAAAGTTCAGAAGAAGCCCAACAATAGAGTCTGAAGGGGCTTAGGCAGGGCAGAGGAAGTGAGAAGATGCAACCATATCATCTCAATCACCCTTTCTACTGGATTTTGATCCAGAGTAGCACATTCTTCATTCCTTTCATCCCCTTGCAGAAAATACCAGAAGGGATGAAATGGCCTTTGTTTTGTTAATAAAAACCAATTTAGTATCAACCACTATCAAGCAGCACTAGATTATGAAAATACTTGGATATATCTACCTCAAATTTTAAATTGATAGCAAGGACGTCTCATTTTTTTAGCACAGCAAGTTGTTCCAAAATACAATCTACTCCACTATTTTAGTACCTAATTTTAGATTGTAAAAATCAAAGTGTATGCACCTACTACACTGTCAGTTGTCTACATAAAAAGCATTAGCTTGAAAGTCAATGCAATTCAACAATTAAGTTTAAAACATCTAATTTTTAGACAAATACAGTATTAAACTGCACTAAAATGCAACTATTAAAAGGCATCAGAAGAAATCACTATACTGCAAAAAAAATCTGAGGCTCCTATTTTAGTAAATATTGGGTTTTAATGTCTGGAAAATGTATTCAGAGGTAAGTTGTAACAGGAAGAAGTGCAGGGGAAAATTTCTAATTTCATTTCCCTAATCCAATTAAGCGACAATAAATATGAAAGTGTTCCTGATGCAAAAGGTTTTTAAAAAAAGGAATGTGTTCTACAAGGATTAGAGTGTATTTCTGTACCCAATATTTAATTCAAAAGATTGATTACATCAAAATCGATCCAATTTAAAACAGAACGTAAACAAAACTGCATATTCAAGATAGTTTAATATGTATTTTCAGAATTAGAAATATCTTTTAGATGATGAAAATTACTAGTGTACTGATCCATTTTCCTCCCAATCACTGAATTACATTTATACATATAATACAGAGCTGATTGCAATTGGAAACAATATTAAAATAAATGTTTCATAGATACAAAGGATATCTTTTCTCCACAACATAGCTTTTCTGGGTGTCTGAATACCCATTTTAAAGTAATTCTCTACTAGCATTAAACTATTTAAGTGCAAACAATTTTGTTTGAAAAAAAAAAAACTATGATTGCAGCATCCATCTTCCTGAATTACATTTTTAAGCCAGAAAGTAATGACTTTCGTTTTCCATGAGTGCATTCCAGGCTGTCTTCTAACCATCTCTGGTTAAAAAAAAAAATCAGTGCAAAAAACAATGGTGAAGTACTAATTTATATAACCGTTGAACTTACTTGGATTTAAGAAACATACTTTATTTTACACATCTCTCTCTCTATATATATATATTGATTAAATTACACCGAACTTGAAAACTATAAAGAAAACTGAGAAAAAAATAATTTTTACTGCAACACCAAATGAAGCATTTCTTTTTTAAAAGGAAAATTCTTCTTTGGGTGAGCAGCCTAGAAGTATTAGCCATACTAAGAATTCATTACATTATTCTTTTGCAAAGTATTATGTGATTCACATAATTCCAAGTTTACACTCTGCCATTTTATAATTTCTGATGCTCTCTGCATGAAGAACAGCTCCTGGTTCCACTGTCATTACTTCTTGTCCTGTGTTCAAAGATTCGCTAGCAGTAGTGTGATGGCTATACTACAGTTCCACTTGGAGAATTGGCCTGGTTTTGGGATGACAATAAACCCTGCAAACAAAGCAGTTTACATTAATCCAGCAAGAGAGCCTGACATTAACTTAAAAAATTAATCTGCAGCAGATAAATTTATCAGTACAAAGGTTTGTATGTACAGGCACTCACTACTAACATATTACCTTTATTCCTCAAAAAATAATGTGCCAGATTCCTATACGAAACATTTTATTTGCCCTGCTTAAAAATGTTCAAAACAATGTTTTTGGGACAGATTAATAAATATGTTTAGGACACTGAATTTGTTGCAAATGTTTGATCTTAGTTTGCCTTGCATTTTTCTTAAGCCACTGGCAACTTCTGGACACTTCTTTTTATACCACACTACACAAATAGTAAGTATCCTTTGAACTAATGGTTAAATATACAGCAAATGGGCACTACACAGACAATGTGTCTACTCTGCCATCAAGAAAAAAAATTAGACAGTTAACCTCCATTAATGTTAATACTACTGGCGAGAATCCAAAGTTCTCATCTGCTGATAAATAGTAAACTGTTTTAAGAAATATTTTAACAAATATTCCTATATGTTAGTTGGGAATGAGAATGCCTGGAAAAGACAATGAGTGTGGCGGGGAGACTCAGAGAATTCACATTAAGTTTTGCATTACCATTTAAGTTTGGATTTAGGTAAGTCCATTAACTTAATTTTTTCATAAGTTTACCACCTTATTGAAATGCACTACAAATCAATAGTGGCTTGCTTATATTTCAGATTTGCAGCTTAAGAATTATGCAGCATTCTTAGCTACATAGATTCTTGTTGATAACTGGTTTAGATAGTATAATAAAGAGGTATTTTCTGCTTTTGATTTATGTACTTGGCTGTCAGGTGATCAAGAAGCTTTTCCCTACGTCATTCATTGAAAAGAAATGTAATGGTTGAATTTCAATTTGGACACCAGCCTTCAGATTTAAAAACAAACATCTGCACCAAAAGGCAGGTTTGTTTTCTTGCACTTTGTCATTTAGTTATTAAAAAGAGTGCTAACAGCCTGAAGAACTAAATACCTGCTAAGCCTGAAGTACCCTGATTAACATAATGACTTCACTTTCCCTTGCTATATAGCTAAATTCACACTTTTAGTAATTGTTTCTTACCTCTAAATTATGTTCCTGTGACTCAGATCCATCAAGCTAGACAAGATCAGATGCAACTAACAATAGGAACGTAGAATTAGTAACATCTTCAGAGTCTATAGGAGCTCTTTCTTGCTTGGATCCAAGTATCCAGGAACCCCTACTGAAGAAAAAAATCCCTGTTCTCTTAAACCACAAACAGAAGTGGAAGAAGTTCTGGATTGGTGGATCTGAGTCACAAAAAAACTAAATTTCAGGTAAACTCATCCTCCCCTTTAAAATCTCTGATCCACCAATTCAGACATGGGATGCATCCACATGGATTGGTGGGGTTCATGGCAGAAAATAAGTACACAGAAGATGGTACGGTATGCTACACCTTAGACTGCCCTCTGTAAATAGCATCTACAATTGTTTTATTTTGTTGTGTATGCAATGCATAACTGATTTTCATATAATTTATGCAGTGAAGTAGATTTGTGGCTCAGTCATGAAATATACAAATGTGATATTCAGGCCTTACAAAGTTGCACATTTCAGAGTTCAGCATTACATGGAAGGAGGAATGGTAGGGTTTGCCTTCCTTCTCTGGGAGGAGGAGGATGCATAGGGAGTGGAACTGTACATAAAGGGTAAAAATTTTAACAGCATCTAAGTCATTGGGCACTTCTGAAAAAGTTACTAAAAAGGACTTTTTTTTTAAAAAAAGTGAATAAAATGTGTGATGAATATACCAGAATGCTGAATCACATGCAGAGTTTACAGTGTTATCACATACCACGTTCCAGGAGTCTGTTAATCCTAACCATGACACCAAAACAATTTTGCATTTTCTTGAAAGATTACACATACTAAGTAACTTTTAAAATGCAGTGGAAAAGGATATTCTGTAGTTAAACATCCCTAGGTACCAATATTCCTAATCTAGTTTATGACAAATTAATCAAGGGTCTGACATGTGCATATGCTAGTAATCCCATGATTGTGAAGCATAAATTAAATCCTATAAAGATGGGGTAAAGGACAAGGTATTTCTCATGACCATAGTATCCAGGGGCCATGACAAACAAGAAATAGACACTATCCATTGTGAATGTTAAGGGAACCCTTATTTGAAATGCAGTCACTTCCTGTGTTTTGCTATATACAGCTGTGCTTTAAAAAGGGGCGATTCTAGAAAGCACTACCACCATTCAATGTGGTACCACATATCCTATGATCTTCAGCATTCAAGTCATTAGGACCCAGACTGGGTTGATTCTCATCCTTATCTCCTGGGCTATGAATACCTTTTTCTTATCAGAAAAAAAAAAGTTGAATAGCTTGAATAGAGGACTGGACAATAGGCACTCCTGAGTTTTAATTCCTGCTCTGAAATACTTCCTGCAGTTTTGAACAAGGTATAGTCTGGTTCAGGTGCCCATCTATACAGTTAGGATAACTGCTTATCTACTTCAGAGTGGTCTATGAAGACTAGATGTTTGTACAGCACTTTGAATGTGAAAAGCTAATATTAGCTAATACATTCTGATGAGTAACAGTTTAGTAGTATAATTCATATTAAGACCAAGGATGAAAATGAGTAGCACAGAATACATTTAAAAAAATTGAAATTTGTAATTTGAAGTCTTTAAATCAAGACTGGATATCTTTCGAAGTGATATGCTCTATCTCAAACAAATTATGGGTTTGATGCAGAAGTTATTAGGTGAGGTTCTTTAACCTGTGTTATACCAGCGGTCAGCCTATATATAATCATAATGATCCCTTCTGACTTTAAACTATGAATATGGTTATGAATTTTGATCTGAGGATGATCATCAAAATTTGGTGAGGAAAACTTATGTTCAAGAAGGAAAAAAGCAAAGAAATGAAGATTGCAGCAGGCCATTTGCCTCTTTACTGAACCACTCTTGGATAGACCAGAGAAGATGGGACAGAAACAAGTTACAGAAACTTAAAGTAATTCTTAAATACAAAAAATCCTGCTAATGCAACAGTAATGCTGCCCACTTCAAAGTCAAAGTCAGGGGCACCTGGCATTGGCCACTGTCGGTAGACAGGATACTGGGCTGGATGGACCTTTGGTCTGACCCAGTATGGCCGTTATGTTCTTAAAGTGCAAAGAAATTCAGATTCCTACAGCAACTTCAGATCTGTTCTGTTGTGCACACAATGCATACTACGCACCAAAATAAGTTATATTAAGCTATGTATTCAGCAAACAAGGAACAGAATATACTTAGTGTGCATGCAGCAAGGGCAAATTAAAAGTGACTGCTGACATCTTAAATAACTGCATTAATTTTTTGCATTTATTTTTATTAAATGTTTAATTAGAACAGCATTCATGGGACATGAGACACTCAAATCAGGAATTAATTTCCAATTAAAAAACAAACTACAAGAGGAAAAAAAAGTTACCCCCTGTCAAGCTTTGAAGTTCTTCCTACTAAGGTGAATGGAGTAAGGTGTGAAGTTTATAGTTTTGCCACTGCTTTTTTTGTTTTGGAGGAAGTCTATCTGTTCAGGTTACGATGTCTGAACCTCCTTAAGTTACAGATCATAGAATGCATCAAAAATTGCAGAAAGCCCAGGGTGGGAAGATATGCAGAGTTCATGTATATTTTTCCTTGTTCCTACTGTTAAGACGGGTCTTTTTGGTGGAGGATTTTGCAGTGTTCTCTCTCTAATTCAAGTTGTTTCAGCAACTGTCCCTTGGCCTACCAAATGCTAGTCAGACCTGCCAGAACATATACTGTGATTTCATGAAGAGGGAAGGACTGAAATCAGAATATATTCATTGAGCATGCTCAAACTTTAAAATCATTTAGCTTTTCATTCCCTATCCTGCAAATCTAGCAAAGGCATTAGACCTCAGTAAGGATATTCCAATCAAGTTCTGAACCAGCCATATTTGCATTTTCTATTCAGAAGAGACTGCCTTTAAAAAACATTGAGTACCACAATTCTCAGTACTGATGGCATTTTGATTTTTTTTTTAAATTCACTTTCACAAACTTACAAAACTTCTGAAATACCTTTTGAGGCTGAAGTAATGTGTGAAGACAAAAATTTATAATGCAGTTTCCAGATTATAGCAGCTGAGCCTGATAGTCTGAATTTCAAATATCTATCAGCTAATACTTGGTGAATATGAAATAAGGAATAAGATTAATGCCGATCAAGGTCACCATAGGGTTACAAATATTCTTATATGAATGAAGATAAAATTGATTAGAACCAAAGAGGGAACAATAGATAAGTTAGTGTTTTTCATTGAGAAACTGAAAAATGTGAAAATGAATATGGTGGTAGCTAGGTGCTATATGGTATGCTTGATATATTAGGGCTTGTTTATACAATCACCAAGCTGCAGCAGTGTAAATCACGTCTTAAATGATTAAAACTAAACCAGTATAAAGCCTTGCTTGGACACTACCATCCAATTTTCAACTTGTTAGCTAGGCTTGCACCTCTAAGTTTTAAGATGCAAATTAAACCAGTAAGAGTATCCACACACACAGTTGCATTGATTTAAATTTTTTAAGACCACAGTTTTAGTTAAACTGGTACAAACTTTGTTTAGATGAGACCTCAAACAGTAGCTTGCTCAGGTAAATGTTCAAGTGTTAAGATGAGGCACTGAGCTACATGAATTTGTTTACTAGATCACATTAAAGGAATTCCTAATGGAGTCATAAGATCAGTTAGTGAACTGGTGTTAAAATGTTATGGGGTTTTTTTTTGGTGTTTTTTTTTTTTTAAAAGGGCAAATCCTTTATGAACATACACCCACCATATAGCAGAAGACTTCTTGAAAAGAACTGGGAGAGCCTGGGAGAAAGCGGGGTTACGGGAAAGCTGATGTTACAGTCATTTCTATTTAAAATGCTTATTTGTTTTGTTTC